CCCCCCCCCCCCTTCCCTGCCATGCGTACCCCCCGTACCCGTACCTGTCGGGTGGCAGTGCCGCAGGCACCGGGATCGTGGTGGTGACGACGCCCTCCGTCCTCAGAACGGGCGAAGACAGACAGCAGGCCGGCTGGTCGCAAGCAAACTTTTTGATAATGACACCCACCGTATCAGCTTTTCGATGTTCCGACAACTTTACCCCGCGTGTGCAAGCATTACACCCCTCCCACCGCCACCACAACGGTTTCCTCTGTCCTCTCAGGTTTACGCAGGCGAAGACACAAGTATCTCTTACTTGTACGTTGTAAACCCGATGTTCGTATTTGCGTTTTGCTTGCTGTTCGTGATTGTGGCGCGATTTTTCGCCGAACACGGGCAGAGTACAAAACCCAGCTCGCGGAGCTTTCACCCTCTAGGTAGAGGCACCCGAACACGCACTCAATTACCCGTCGGCCCGCCTGTGACATCTTGCCGCGGCCCCCTCCCTCTTCTTCGTCCCCTCCTTCACGGGCCGTATTCCCTGTGCCTCGTTACTGACCCACGCGGGTTTAGAAAATGTTTTCGTCCTCCCTCGCACGGTCTCTTCGTAAAATTCTTGCCCAGACCGGGCCATCCGAAAGAAGAGAGAGGATACCTCCACCATGACCAGCCTGTATATCTGCATACCCGCAGCATCTCCCCACGCCTGTTCCCCTCTTTAGGCTTGGAAATTCTCGTGTTTCTGTCTTCGTGAGGGCTTCTGGTGTATCATGCGCCAGTCGAACGCACAGCGCTTCGGGTTGTTTTCTTCCCCGTTAACCAATCATTCAGCTTTTTGGACGAGTTTGGTACCAGATGACCCATCTGTCTCTCGCGTTCACCCTGCTCTCTGGTGCGCGTCCACACGCACCCCCGATGTGGGAGCTGTCCTGTACATTTTGTTATCACGCTTCTGGCGCCTTTTTTTCACTTGGTAACGGTGTTGTGGTTTCTGCCCCTGGCTATTTCTTTCTCCCTCGCGAGGGCATCCAGGGGTCTCCAATTCACGGCAGTAACGTTCTCCGTTGGCACTGACTTTGCTCCTGTCTGCCCGCTGACGTCATCCTTTCTCCGATGCGATTGGGACCGACCGGTCTGGGCATGGTTCCCAGGAGGGGGATCAACAAGCGGACGGCGTCGAGCAGAGGTGGCAAGAAGCTGCCGCAGCCTTAGGGCCGGCAGAGCGGCAGGTTAAGTTCCTCCGGCTGCTGGGTGCAAAGAAGGGAGCGGCGGCGGCGGCGGCGGGTGCCTCGATCGCCTCGAGAGGGGCGGGAGGCCTGTTTTCTCCTTCTGGTGCCGGTGGGGCCGGAACCGACGACGGCCTGGCGGCGAACGCGAAGGTCTTTTCATTTTTTGTTGTGGTTTCAACATGATTTCATGTGTTTTGCGAGGGTCGTGTTGTAGGTATGTTTTTCGGTTGGTCGTGGTTCGTAACAATCGCCCAGTTTTACTCAGCTCTCTTCACATGTTCTATTCACGCTACCCACATCCCCCCATAGTCTTGTTTACTTTGCCCGGTCTCAACCTGGTGGTCCTGCGGGGTGTTTGCGACGAAATCAGCGTGGAAATCTTCGCTTTTGCCGCTCTAGCGGAGCAATAGAAAGCCTTGTTTACACAATGATTCGTCTCCCAGTTCGGTGTGCCGAGATCACGGTGTGCGTCGGACCATTTTGTTTGACACTATCACCCTCCCAGTTGTCGGGCATACATGCAAGGCAAGGGGGACTGGACCGCAACGCTGCTGACAATAGGAAACAGAGTCAGGCGCTGTAGGGGCCAGGGTGGTGATTAGGAGGGTGGAAAGGCATAACGCCGGTCGCCACCGCCCCTTGGTACCATATTCTGCAAGCCCGCCGCTCACTACCCAATAATCCCCCTTTTCCCCGGCGGCGTGTTTGAAGGTGATGCAAGACTTGGAAATACACTACCAGAAGGCGCATCGAGCACACTTCGGCTTTCAGCGGGGGCTAGGAAAATGATAAAACGGCGTAGATGGGGGCGCAACCCCCGCAAGAGAATGCACTCAATGAGGGATGAGGGCAGTATCCTCGATAGTGCGGGACCGCACGCTACGTGTTCGAGACTATCCGTCACGGAACTCGTAGAAATCATGAGGGGATTGTGATTTTGGGTGTATGGCGGCGTTATTTTCCGACGCTCTCGATTCCTTTGGACCATCGCAAGGGGTTAGTATTGTCGCGCATCCTCCCCTAGCGATGATGTTCTTCTAGACATGTGAGGACACCTTGCTGAGGTGTGGCCGGCATCGAACCCTAACGATGATGTTCTTTGGAACCGCCTCGACGATTGAGAAGGTGCAGGGCGGATTCTTGGCTTGTTTGTGTCTTGTGGGCCACGCCGCTTTGTTGTTTCTGACGACCAGTCATCCCCCGTTGTCAACTGGGGCAGTGCTATAACGGCCGTGAATTGACGTCCACGCAGAAAGAAAAACGGCACGTGAGGTAGAGGTGTTGGATAAACATACGATGCCGATAAAAGAGGCACTCACGGCTCCTCTAGAAAACTGGTAGTTGGGGTGCAGGTGGTTGTGATCTGCTGCGTTGGTACAGCAGCAGGAAAGTCCTTGTAGTGTTCGATGGATTGATGGACAAGTTGAGTAGGGAAGGATTGTTGGAAGTGTTTTTTTTTATGGGAACAGGAACACGGGTAGGTTGGGGGTGTTCGTTGTCCGAGTGATGTGGTGAGTTCAAGAGGGGATAGCGGCATACGTAATGGTCAATCCAGGCATTCATATCTAGAAGAGTCCACGATGTAGTCATGGGGTCGAAGTGGGTTTGTTTTTCTTCGCGGCAGTGCCGTTTCCTCCAGAGGTGGCGTTCTGAAAGGATGCTCGTGTTTTCACATATGCATATGATAAAAGTGCCCCGGGCAAACCTCGAGACGCATACGGAGAATGTTAACCATCACACCCGCCTGTAGCTCTCCCGACGACGGGACTGTTGATGTCGGGAAGTATGCATATGTATCTGCAAGCTGCGTGCTTTAGTCGAAGGAATGGCTTGCCAAGTCTCGGTTGGTACTGAATATTCTTGGGGAACATGCTTCTACAAGCAGTAGTCCGACGAACGACACCATGCCTGTACAACGCATGGACACCTAAAAACGCTGTGGTGTGCACCACGGCTGTCTCAATCTCTTCACGACTTCGTAGCTACGCCACAGACCGCACGTGTTGCCACTACCAATAGCATCCCCCCTCTGCGGGCGCCCGCTAGTAGCAGCGGAAGCAGCAGACATCAACCACAAGCAGAATGCACAACGGCCATATGCGTGCTACGCAAATCGTTCACTCAGAGGTCCTATGCTACCAACGACAGTAACATGCCTCTCGAACTCCGCGTGGAACCGTGATTTCATTGCAGTTTCCAAATTACAATATCTGCGTTAGCGTTGTCCAAGGGGATTTAGCGTCCCAGGATATGCCCCATTAATACACGTAAATTCTCTGGGTACAAACCCGAGCAAGTCTAGGTTTTGTCGGTTGTTTTCCACCAAGAAAGCCATGGGTCAGCAGCAGTATTCCTGTTGGTCATCGCCAAGAACGCCCTGTCGCTGTTCCTCTTCCCGGGCGCCCTGCCGTGGCGGCCGCGGCAGCAGATGCTCGTCTGACCCCGCCGCTGGGTTCCCCTAGCCCCCGTCCGGTCCCACTTCCTCCTCCGCCACCCAACACACCCGAGCCACCTAGCATACCCCCGCCGCCGGCTGCTGCCGCCGCCGCAGAAGTGGAAGAAAAAGAAGCGCCACCGGTGCCGTTGCCGTGAGAATCGGTCCTGCCGCCACCGCCGCTGCTGTTGTTGCTGCTGCCCTTCTCCCGCTCCGCTTGGTTGAGAGCCTCCTCGTCGTAGAGAACGTAAAAGGCGCCCATGTCTTTGCAAGGGCCCATAGACACCGGACCCTGTTCGGACGGTAACGTTGTGCGAGACACGGGTGTCAAGGCAGAAAAAATGCCGCTATGTGAGTTTCTCGTGTGTGTGTCCGTTCTCAAGTTGCAGCAAACGCGCGCCAAACCACCGTTTTGACTCATTCATCGCTCATGAACGTCGAATTCACCGGGACTGCGAAGTGTGCGTTGTAGAGAGCGGGAGGGAGACGGGGGGCAGACGACAGCAGTGGTGGTATGAACGAAAACTTCGTGTAGCAAAGGGTATCATTCTTTGAGTTGAGTAAAGAGGGGAGTCACGGTCCCCACGGCCAGGTAACATCCCCAATACCCATCAAAGCAACTCCTCGAGACCCAGTCGAGGTCTCTACAACGAAATGAAATACTCAGCGAATGACTCACACATCTCGGAGACTGAAACACCAACGGCACACCTGATACTCACACATGCACACGGCCACAAAAGTAAGCCCGTCCCGTCTTGTAAAAGGTCGGCGAAATCGCGCGTGATACAGACGGAATACCGTACAGACGAATAGATAACAAAATCGAATCGAAAACAAATATACGTACTACATCCATCGATAAATATGTATACACTGGGTTTGGGGGTGTTGCTCGTTTTGGTTTGGGTAGATATTTTTTCAGGTTTGGGGACGCAATTATAATCAAGTCGTCTCATTCTCTGAATAGTGCCGGTGGCCGGGTATATTGCCGGTCAAATCCCTTGGCACTATGCTGCCTCTTGCAGAGACCACTACTGCTGTACCTTGTAGCTCGGGTCGGAGAAGTCAGGAGGAACGACGACGGCAAAAATGTCGCGAAGGAGGGTTGTCTGCACGCATCCAGCGGGGGAAGAGTTGCGGAAGGGAAAGGGATGGTCAGGAATCACGAACTCATAATGTTCCTACGTCTGCGCCAGAAATCTTTGCAAGAATAGGACGGATTGTACCGTAGGTTGCAAAAGATACCACACCCGTGTGACAGCATGTTTTGGGGTACAGCAGTACCAAAGTTATCACACGTGTGTGGCATTCTGCAGGGGTGTGATATCTTATGTTACCGGTGTGGTAAAGTGAACTCACTGAACCCCGCATACATGGGGTGTGATAACAAGCGGGTGTGCTGACAACCGGGCGTGATAACAATGCCCGCGTGATGATGCACACTCACATGCCCCGGCCTGCAGGGGCTGCGATAACCTCGCCCGTTTGGTGAAGTGCGCTCAAAGCAGGAACCACGTAAAAGGTGTGATGAACGCGGTATAAAAAAGGGCTAGCAGTAGAATCCCTCTAATACCTTCATGACGCGGTCCGATTCAGTGGTCGCGGAAAGGCTGGGAGACGCGTTCACCTCCACGAGCCACGGCTTCAGTTGGTCGTCCACGATAATGTCATAGCCGTAGCACTCAAAGCAGTGCTTGTCGCTCACCATGACGGGTTGCACTGCCTGTTCCAGCGGTGCAAACCGAAACGGAAAAAACCAAGACCGAAAATAAGCGCCGATAAAACAATGCAGCGCCAGCAGTCAGCCCTGCTTGAACGGTCCCAAGGCATGAGCCTGGAACTCTGTGCAAACATCGGATTGATCGAAGCGTATCTCAGCAAAAAACGCTGGTACGCAGCACTCTATGGCAGCACTGTTGGCGTCTTCTTACCGGCCAACTATGACAAGAGTCGGCATTGCACCATGGTTCCCTTCCCACGACACCGCTATCACCTTGGCCGCGGTGTAGTTGTGGAAAAAAAACTGGCAATCAACTCAACATGTGATGCTACCCACGGGCTGAAAGTTACTTGGAGCTGATGAGTTAACGAAAGCAGGAGATCGTAATGGACCACCAGGCCAAACACTGGCCGATGGATACCTTGGACGGATGGTAGTAAAAGGGGATGTGTGATGGTGCTGCCGATCTGTCTTCAAGAGATTGCAAGACTAGGCGAGACACCGGAAAACAGTTTCGTTAACAGAGTGACCGCACGGTAACCTGGTCCATCTTTCCACACAGGGCGAGGTTGCACAGACCCGTACCTTCAGGGAGTGGATGATGATGCTGTCGATCTGTCCGAACAAGATGGAGACAGCTTCCCTGCCTCGGGTGGCCTCTAGAAACAGACGGAGATTTCTGATGTGCCATTTACCGCCGTGCCTGTCAAAGTGCGGGGAGGATTCCGCGCCAGCGAGAGTACAATTGTCGTCTCGGGTAAACAAACAAAACGGCACTGGCGTGTGCACTGTCATGGCCGTTGTCAGAACAAAAAGATATTGATCACCATGCCCATCACACGGAGGCAGAGAAGTAGCAGATTCGGGATTTTGCCAATTTGCTAGTACTCGCCGCCTGGTGTACACTTATGATGTACGTCACTGTTAGTGCTGTTGCGTCTCTTCACCGAAACTCACATGGAGTTGTAGTCCTCGCCGTGCTTTTGAACGGCCACGTTGGTGAGGTGGATGAAGGGGTTGTCCAGCTCCTGCACGTCGCTCGTGTACTTGGGGGTGCAGAAACGGGCAAACCCGTGCACGAAGAGGTACACCCGAAGAGGCCTGAGGATGGGCAATACCGGCACGTCGGTCACCGTTTTTGTTGTATGTTGCCTGTGGCACAAGTTTCTTGTGTTTTCATTCTACACCGATACTTGCTGTTGCGACCATTGTTTATGATCTTATCTCCTCTTCCGTCGCCGGTGCTCGTGAATCAGATCGTGAGGCACGGATTTCAGCGCACGGAAAGGTACAGCGGAAGAGCCTTTGGGGAGTTTCTTGCGATTTTCTCTGGCTTGTGCCCATAGCGAAAATTACCGTGCCAGCACCACCGCTGCAACCACATCACAATCACCGCCACCGTCATCACCATCATCACAACCTACACTAACAGCAAACAAACACCAACAGCGGCAGTGCTGCAGGCAAGCGCCCCAACGTGAACGTGCCTGTAGCATGTCACGAGGACGTAGATACGAAGGTCGAACTTCCTCCCTCCCACCAGGAGTGGGTTTTCAATGTAACGACTGATGAGGTACGCCTCCTTCAACGGGATGCTGGCCCATCTGCGGACGTGTGTTCAAGACAAGAAGGGAAGGGGTTGAGACGAGCTCTACCGGAGGTTTTCCCGCGAAATGCATGTTTGTCGCATCGCCAACCCCGGCATATCGCTCTAGTCGACTCTACGAGAAGTCTCCGGTGGTCTCGCCGACAACAGTTCTCTTTTGGGCACAACTATTCCTCGGGAAAAATCAACAGCCCATGGACGCGGGTGGTGACGGTACTCTGGGGGGGGGTGTAGTACAGCGTCATCTACTCGTGGCTGGTGCCAAAGCGGAAGATCTGCACATACTCAGTGCGAGTGGGGGCGCTTCGATCTGGACCTCTTGGCCAGAACCTAGAATGCGTCGCACAACGCGAAAGGAAAATCTTCCACAAGCTTGGAGGTACCGCGTGTATCCCGCCCGTGAGGCCAAATGCTGTCGTACCACGCTACCTCCGCCGCCCAGGAGAACATGAAACGCACCTCGGGTTCGAAGACCACTTCTTGATCTGCGCCAGGCGGTTGATGATGAAGATCCCCTTGCCCTGCGCACGGTTCGTGGGCTTCATGATCCACTTGGCGTTCGGGCACCGCCGAAACTCCTCGACGAAGAGCGAGTAGTCCGCCGGAAGCATGTACGACACGGGGACGAAATCTGCTCTTCCACGGGACGGCGGTGGGTGGTGCTCTCATTGTTATCAGGAAATTTACATGCACATGACACAACACCAAAATCAAAGAAAGGCTATCTGTTCGAGAAAATACCGCAGTCGAAGGGGATGGGTCGAAGTCGTGACAGTGAAAGGGGGAAAAAAACTGCTAGGTACTGGTTTGATTTGATTGTTGCCGGCTTGATATTCGTGATATGCCACATAAGAAAAATTCTCACCCCCGTAAGTTGATCTCTTCCATTGGTTGCTGCAGCATCCTTGAGCTTTTCGCTTGAATAATCGCCTCTGATTGGCAGGTTTCCGTCGCCGTAGACTCAAAAACGGTCACCTCTGTGGTCGGTAGGTCTTGGACAACACTCCCCCCCGATTTGGTGAGAGTTCGACAGGTATCCACCATTGCCTGGTAAACTGTTGACATCACCCACCGCTCTGATTCGTGAGAAATCGACCGCATCCAGTTGTACATGGTAGAAGTGGGAAATCAATGAATGAATCACCTCTTATTGGCGGGTTCCTGTCGTCCTTGGCCTGCTCCTTCAAGTACCTCTTCACGTTCTTCACCATTAAATCTTTTCGGGTCAGCTCGTAATGATTCGGAAAATGGTTCACCAACCTGTGTGCGGCAGACAAGAGGCAGCGAGGGTACAAAGAAAAATCAACGAGAGATGGACGGGGGGGGGGGGG